ATCTGGTAAGCAGCGGCCAAAATGCTTTCAGAACTGATTTCCCATAGAATCCTCTTCCCAAAGGACCTGGGAGCAAGGTGTCTCATGGATAGAGGACATTCCAGCTCTGTCCTCTGCCTTGAGTGATTCAGAAAGTGGGAGATCAAGAAGGCCAGGCGGTCTGACCTGCATGTGACAGAGCTCCGCAAGGGGAAGCACGAAAATCACTGAGCAGTTCATTCTCTTCATGTTCTACTGTAAGGGATGGGGTCTGACCTTAGAGAAGGAAACCCATAGGTTCTCTGACAGCCGACCCTGGCACATCCGCATGAGACTCTGGAGTTGATTCCCCTTCTGGAAAAGTTTCTGACTCTTGTTGTCCACATCAGCTACCTGAACCGCTCTCAGAGCCCCGGACTTCCCGTCAGTCAGAGAAAGCAGAGGATCATGGCCTCAGCTCTCCGGCTCACTGAGCACAAGTGCACTGAGAGGAAGCCTTGCAAAGTGGGGTACGCTTACACAGCATGTATGAGGCCCTGGGCCTGACACCCAGCACTGCAGGACAGTAGTGTGAAACCTGCAGGATTTTTGTAGAGATCCAAGGCATTCGCTTCTTTGAAACAGAGAGACCAGTGGCACGGCGCTAAATACTGAACTGAGGGACTCAGGTGATCTTCTCCTGAGCTACACCCTGGCCTGTCTAAATGGCTTTTTGAGGAAAGATGCAAAGATGTGCTTGGTGACACTTTAAACCCCAGATCACCACTAAGTGTGGCCGTGGCTGACTCAGCCAGACAAGCTGGGAGTCACAAATGCCTTTTTGTTTTCAAATAGAAAACATGGAGGGAGAGAGAGAGAGAGAGAGAGAGAGAGAGAGAGAGAGAGAGAGAGAGAAGGAGGAGGAGAAGAAGACATGAATAAATGGAATGGAATTCAAAAATTTTAATGGACACATGATAATTGATAGTTGTACTTAGGCACAGATACAGTCAGCTGTTCCGATGCATGCACACAATGTATGATGATTCACGTGGGGTACTTAGTGTATCTATACCTCCGATATTTATCTTTTCTTGTGGTGAGAACACTTGAATTCTTCTCTGCAAGCTATTCTGAAATCCACATTGTTATTAACTGTAGTCATCTTAGTGTGTAATGGTGCAACAGAAATTACCCTTCCTAGCTGTACCTTTGTACATGGTGGTCAGCCACACTTCACCCCACCCCTTTCTCAGAACTGAGTTTTAGATTCCACAAATGAATGAGATCACACAGTATTGGTCTCTGTATTCCAGGCTTATTGCACTTAACCTAATGTCTCTTGGGGTTCGTCTATGTTGTCAAAATGACAATTTCATTTTTATGACTGAATAATATTCCATTTTGCCTATTCACCCATTAAAAGATACCTAGGTTCATCTGTATCTTTGCTAATGGTGAATATTGTTAAAATGAGCAGGAAGTGAGGAAATCTCAACATACTGATTTCATTTCTATACACCCAGCAGTGGGATTGCCAGGTCCTATGTCCACGCTAATGGTAACTTCTTGATTAACCTCTGGACTACTTTTTATGATTGCACTTATCTGCCTTCTTGCCGATGGCACGCAAGGGTGCCCTTCTTCACATCCGTGCCAACAGTTATCTTTTATCTTTCTGGTAATAGCCATTCTAAGGGGAGTCAGTTGACATCTCATTGTGGTTTTGATTTGCAGTTTTTGATGATTCGTGACAGTGAGCATTTTTTCATATACCTATTGGCTATTCACGTATCTGTTTTGTGAAGTAGTATCCACTCAGGTCTTCTGGCCATTGTAGACTCAGATCGTGTGGAGTTTTTGACTGATGAGTTTTTTGAAGTCCTTGTGTTTCTAGACATCAACCCCTGGTCAGATAGATAGTTTGTGAGTTGTCAGCCTCATGAACAGCCCCTTTAGCGACCCAGCTGTAGGGGAAGCCTTTTTCTGGAAGTGGAGAGGCACTGAGGGTATCTCCAGACCACCGCTGGCCTCCAACAAGTGGGTCTGTGTTGGAGCAGTGTATCAATGGGATGATTAATAAAAACAGAACTAAGCTCATATTTAGAAACATAATACAGAACATTCATGTTGTGCAGTGCTGCTTCTGGAACTAGTATAAAAGGCCCACTGAATATTTTGTATTCAGGCATTCCCCAACTAGGGCAGATTAATTGTGGATCTGAATTACACCAAGGGACGGAAAGGATGTTCCCTGAAGCAGGGGCAAAATAGTCTCCTTATCGTGCTGTTCCCTTGTACGTGGCCTCCTGAGGCTGCGGAGGGTAGCTGTGTGCTCCGGTCAGGGTAGGTGGGCAGGAAGCGGGTGGATCCTTGTCCACTGCTGCCGATACTCCAGGTTACTCTTGATACTTCCACACATCTTTCTGTGCTGCCGGCCTTTCTGTATTTCTTACACCATTCATGGAGAGGTTTCAGTTCTTAGCAGGTGAAGGTAAGAGAAAGTTAAATTCCTCAGTAAGAGAAGGGAATTCTGCGGCCCACTGACCAAAAGGATTATTTTCTGCCACTGTATTTTAATTTCACATGTTTTATGTTATTATAAATTTGTAACTGTGTGTTTCTCGAATGTGATGTGATACAGATTACAATGTAGGATGGATACATCAAGCTGACTCCCCTACCCATCCCCGTTTGACATTGCAAAACACGTACAGAAGGACCACAGCCCCTTATCTGAGACCCGGGGGCCAGTTGTTTCAGAATTCAGAATGTTTTATTTTAGAAAGGAGATATAATGTATCATCTATATATTATCATCCCTAAAAGGTCCTGAGGAGATTCTCGTGCTCTGTAACATGAAAATGTCTACGTTAAAATATGATTATTCACTTGAATTGGGACAGCTAAAGATTTTAAATAGCATGCAAGTCAGGCAGAGACATCAAGTATATTTTGGAACCTATCTTTAAGAAAAAATAAGAGATTTTTCTGAGCTTTCTAGATTTTAGAATTGTGTAGAAGAAATTGTGACTCTTAAATAGATCACATCTAACAGTGATTATTGGACCATCCAGGGAACCTAGCGAGTATTTAGAAGAAAAATTGTATTGCAAATGATTGACAAAACAAATATTTGGTGCAAAATCCATTTGTCACTTGGGAACTAACTGTACTAATAAAAATGATTAAAAGTTACATTTTGGGGCCTGGGGTTTAGCTAAGTGGCACAGAGCCCGCTTGGCAAGCATTAGGTTCTGAGTTCAATTGCTGGCACACACAGCCCATCCACAGTCACATTTTGAACTGTGGAAAGGCTGATGTAAATACTTTCATCTGAGACAATATGCAGCTTTAGCACATGACTTATTAGCTACTCCTTCACCAAATCCTCAGACTTAATGATATATCTTCTCTCTGTGTTTTTTATTTTCCTGGTAAATCTTTTTTCTCAAAAATAGTTGGTTTGCCCTAGATTTCATATGGATGACACTCAGTCTGGGTAGCTGGCAGATTTTAATCAGGGCAAGGGGATGAGTTGTGGAAGCACAGTAATCTTAGTCATTTGGGAGCCAAGCACTTTTTTAAAAATATGAAGAAAATTTTTTTAAAAATTCATGGAGTGATACATCCTTCAAATCGTGTCACAGAATTAAAATAATGTAGATGAAAAATTCAGAGCAGAATCTTTGAGAAATTCAGCTTTTCTTTGAGGAAAACCTTTCTGAGCTAGCACTGATATCATAAATGAAGTATTTGCTTTCACTCTGAAAGGTCCTGAACTCTGCAGGAAAACTTAAAGTTACATTAAAAAAACAAAAATACTTAACCTCAGAAGCTGTCGCAATGGAGGACTAGGTTATAAATAATTTGGAAGTAGTTTGTCACTAGGGATTTCAGTGGCGTAAACAAATCTTAAACAATTTACTTTTTGAGTTTAGCCATCAGGGGGCTGATAACCCTATGAATTGATTTTTAAAAACCTGTCAGAATAAAAGTGTTGCAGAGCTTCTTGTACTGGGAATTCATTATATTGTAGGTCACATGAGATCATTGCAAATCTTACATGTAAGAAAGTACAGAAAACAGAATTAGGCAGCCCCAAATTCTAATATGACAAGAGTTACAAAACTCACCAGATGATTTTAAGGATACGGTAATATTTATTTATATATTTATTTTGTTTTGCTTTTTAAAAAATTAATTAAATTTATTTGTACATTTTAGGTATACAGAATGATCACAATGATTTCTAAAGATGAGAAAGAGTTCCATGTTCATCCCTATGCCCAGATACTGTAAGCAGTTTTTGGTGTCCTTCCGGGTCCTGTTTACATAAGCAAGTTACAGAAAATAAGCAAAATAACTTTTCCTGTATTATTTGATGACTTTTTCTTGATCCTCAGATTTCTATTCCCTAGATGGCTGCAGGCTGCACCATACCATAGAATGCCCTATCCTGGCCTCCTTTGACAATTATTCATGTATTATTAGTGACACTGGCTGAAATCTCTTTAAAATTTTTTTGGACATTAAATAGAAATTCTAGCCACAAGTAAGAAAGCTACTGGTTATCAGAACATCACCAAAATGGAACAGCAGTGCTCAGCTCCTCAGGATTTAAAGGGCGCAGAGATATTAAATAGTCTTCCTTTTAACATGCTTTATCTGCTACTCCCTACCTCCTCCCCCAAACAACCACCAAAACAGTTAAACATTTTACTTTGAAAAGTTGCCCAGTCATTCAGTGATGTCAGTGATCCAGGCTGCAGGCTCTCTAACCTCACAGGAAGGACCATTCGTGGCAGTATTTTTAGAGATTCCTTTTTACCTTTTAATTATCTGTGTCTTGTCCTGCTCCCGTGTGCTCTGACACCTCTTGGAAACCACTGTGTCTTACAAAGCACGTGCACGTTTCCCCCCTTGCAGCATGCTGCACCCAGCCTTGCAGTGAATTTCTTTCTTTCTTTTCTTGTTTTTCACCTCCTCCTTTGCTTAGAACAGAGGTAGAAACCCCAGGAGATTCAAGTACCCACTTGATAGGCTCCGTCTCTCTTAATCAGCCTGTAATGGAGCTAATGGCTGTTTGTCATCCTTGGAGATATAAATTTCCTGGCGGTGTCTCCTGCAGACAGTGCATGAAGTATGCTCTGTGTGCCAGTAAAGGCTGATAAGCAGAGAAGGGCAGGGTACTCCGTTAGCCAGCAGAGCCAGGGCTTCCGGCTGCCAGCTGCAGAACTCGCCTCGCCACTCCTGAGACATGGATAATGCCGGTAGGTGAAACAGGGCTGATCGCTTCCTAGCCGCTGGCTTCCTTTGCAGCCAGCATCCTTGGCTGCAGAGTTTGCCTGTGTGTCGCTCCGGTTCTTCACTACTGTGTTTAAGACCGGGAGCTGCGGGATGTGTAAGCCCCGATGTATTGTCCACAGGCAATTAGCATTCGCTTTGAAGTTTAGGAATTGGGATGCAGATAGATTATCATGTTACATTCACCTTAATGAGTACTGCACTGTTCTCTTTAGGCTGGAGGCGGTGTATGGTGTTGGCTCCTTTTGTGCTTAGCATATGGGTGAAAAAATGCATATAGTTAATGAAAAAACTATTACTAAGCCGTACCAAAAGGTAGATGGAGTTGATGCTAGGGAGCTGAACAAAAACAATTTTTAAAAATATGACAATGTGCACAGTGAAACAAGAATTCTTTGGTCTGATGCTCTCATCGTGTACTGGGATTGCGAGGTTGAAATATCTCAGTACCCTCTGATACTTTCATTGTAGAGTACAGGAACTAGTGGTCAGTCATGTAGCTTTAAAAAATGTGTTTGTTTGAAATATCTTTACCTGGTAGCTGGATAAACATGACCAGGGAAGTATTTAATTTTTAATTAATTAACTAGCATAAAATTACCTCTCCAGTGGAACTTTTTTTCTGTATTGTACTGGTAGGGGATGTAGACCACGGGCTGGCTCCCCGTTCTGGTGTAATCAGCCCTCCATGCAGACTTTCCCAGCTGTGCTCTGGATTCTCTGTCTCCTAAAACTCATTAGTTTAGCTACTCAGCTGGAACCAACGCTCCACTGAGGCTGCCGGTCCTAGCAGCAGTCTGTGCTTATGAAAGAATGCATCTTTTGACCCCGTCTACGCTCAGCATCATGCACTGGGGCTCCGGCATCTTGGTTTTGAACCTGAGCCATTTAGTCTTCGGCACAGGTAGCATCAGCAGGCAGAGGTTTAAAGGCAGCAGTGTGATGATGCATCTTTCCAGAAACAAAACTCCCTGATGAAAATCATGCTGTCTTTGACACTGAAGGCACAGACATACATTGGAATGGTAGAATATCAGGCATACAAATGCTAAGGTAGTGGAAGAAACAAAACAAGCATAAGGAAAGTGCGTGTGCGTGTGTGTGTGTGTGTGTGTGTGCGCGTGTGCGTGTGCGTGTGTCTGTGTGTGTAGTAGTTGTAATAGTAGTAGGGAGAGGGCTGGATTCATGCATATGCATCCTTCCCCCGTGCTTGTCATTGAAATATACTGTTGGGCTTGTCGTAAAAGCATGTAGGTCTGATGTCCTGTGACAAGGCATGATTCGAAGATCAGGGGAAAGCTTCTCTAATTACAGCAGGAGAGTGAGTGAAAATAAATAAATAAACCAGGATTTCCAATGTAGGCTCGTTTAAAACTTCTGCCACCCACAATGAATTATACTGACATCCTGGCAGAATTATCACTTTAATTCAAATAAGTGCCTTTCTCCACTGACTCATGTATTTATTTAAAGGCCATTTAAGAAAAGGCAAGAGACTGCTGTAGGAGTCTTTCTGTAGTCTTCAGAAATGTGAAGGGTTGTTATTTCTTTTCTGGCTAACTGTAGCTTTGGGGGATAAGTGTTGGCACCATTTGTAGCTGTATTTGTTTATGTTATTAAATGCCATTAATAAAGTACCTTGCCTTCTGACGAGCTTTAAGAATATACTATGAATGTTGGCTGTTAAAGTAGCAGTTTCTATATCATTTCCAATTTTAAAAATAATTCCAAATATAACCTGGTATATTTTTGAATGGAATAAAAGGCCTCTAAATTATATTATTTGAGTAGTTCAGAAATAACAGCTCTCTTATAAACAGCATATAGTTGGCCATCAACAATTACTTTTCAGCATCATTTTTTGGGTGATGTAAGCTCCTCTCTTTTGGAAGGAAAATACAAACCTGCCCTGCACACATATTTTCATAAGTTGTATTGACTGACTATAAAAAAACCATCTAATATGCACTTACTGAGAGCCAAACAAAAACCTGAAATACTTTAACATTATACTGAGTGGCTCTGTTAACTTGGAGCATTGCAGTTTCACTGATTTAGTTAGATGATGTTAAATATTTGCCTAAATGTTTCTGACCGGAAGTCAGAAGCAGCTGAGCCATGGGTTTTAAGGAGTCAGGCCTCTTTTCAGCAAGGGTTTCTGCATGAAGCTTAGATAATTGTTACCCAGAAACAAGACAATGACCCCGCCTCCCCACCAGGCAGATGCCTCAGATTTATTCAGATCTCTGAGAACACCACTTTAGACATACTTGTGTGTGGTTTTGTTGTTAAATAAGGAAAAAGGAGCCACCAGGGACTCCACCCTTTCAGTGGGATGTGTACTGTGCAGGCACCGCGCCTCGGCGATCCATCCGACTCCTAGTGGGCAGCACAGAGCTGCATTCCCACTCTCAGAGCAGGAGACATCCCTTCCCCATAATTGCTGGCTTAGGTATTCCTTTAAAAGCTTTTCCTGGAATAACAATGAAATATTTATCAAATTTGGTGAGTGTGTGGAATTTGTGAGGGCAGTTTTAGCAATACCTAAGCCTTTCTCCTTCTTTTGCCTGTGCCTCGTTTTTTTCTTAGAAGTTAAATAACGACTCAGCTAGGTGGTCCTTTGTGAAATGCCAGACACGTGACCCTTAACTACAGTCAAGTTATTCTGCAGGGCATCTGTGTGCCTCTGTCAGTTCTCATTTATGCTTCATCATGAATAGGCAGTGAAAAGAGGTGCCTAGTGACACTAATTAATAACATGTGCCGATGACCTGAGCCACAAGGTTTTGAAATGAAATTCCATATTCTATAGGGTGCGGTCCTGTTTTAAAAAAAAGTGCTGCAGCCTTTAGTGCACTCATTTTTCCTTACTTGAAACCAAGATGTTTCTGTCACCCTGTGTGAGTCCTAAGAGGTGCCCTCACATGGAGAGCAAGTGGCAGCCCCTGAGAGCCCCTGCACCTTGGCCTTCCCTTCTAGCCCCTGGTTCAAGGGGTTTTGATGCTTGATGTACAGTCACTGAATCTGAGAAGTCCATAGTCTACAGCTCTCTGCAAAAAGGGACCGAAGGGTTCGCTGAAGGCAAACAGGTAAGGTTTGCAATGGAACAGGCAAGAGTGACCCGTCGTTTTAGGTGAATGCTGGCTCTGCCACCTGCCATCCAGCGGCCATACACAAGTGACATAAACTCCATGTGTATTGGTTTCTCATCTGGAAATGGTGACAGTAGTTGTACTAATTTCATGGGATTGTTGTGAAGAGGAAAGTAGGTAACAGATGAACAGGTTTTGCCACCATGGCTGGCATGTGGTAATACCCCATGCCTGCTGGCTCTTCAGAGAACCATCCAAAGACTGAAACAGGTTGCCTGATGACAAATAGATGCTCTAGCAGGATACCGGCCATTGGAGGTAGTGCAGGTAATAGTTGGGAAAGTGAGCGGTTACAGGCAAGTGAGCAGCCAGGAGGCTGTGTGGAGGGTATAACTGGAAGTCGCCGTGGGTGGTACACGGGAATGGGATTGCAGGACCCCTTGGTTGGGTACTGGTAGCGCATGGTGAACAGATACAAAGATAGAGACAAGTAGATTAGTCAGAGGAGGCCTTTGAGGTTTCTAGTTTGAAGATCTAAAACAAGAGATGTCTTGACGCTATGCAACCCAAAATTAGTTTTAAGGGAAAGATACTGACTTCTGTTCTGGGATTGTTGGTTTTGAAATGTCTTCTGTGTTGCCCACTAATGATAGTAGTAGCCACAGTGACAACTTTTTAATTCACTGAAAGGTATGCACCACACACACACACACACACACACACACACACACATGCACACATGCACACAATTGCTTGCTGATCATGGATTTGAGATAAGGCAGGGTGGGAGGTTTGTTTGGATTTTTGTTTGATTTAAAAATCTTTTCTGCTTTACACATGTTTTGCTTCCTTTGGCCAAGGAAACTCAGTGGCAATTAATGCTTCCTCTCAACCTTAAGGGGATCCATCCCCTGGGGTGGGTAGAGAAAGGAGATTTTCAAATGCTTCCTCTTTCAATACAGATGGAAAGAAGAGTAAGCCTAGAGAAAATGCCCCTAAGCACTGAAATAATTTGGGAGAAGACCAGGCCATTCCATAAGAAAATATGAGCATAAAAATCTTTCAGTTCAAGCTGGTTGAAAGTTTGTATCAGCAGCTGTCAGGCCCAACTTCCTGGACAACGGAAGAGCAGGGCTCAGAACAAAGGAGCTGTGGAGCCCCTGTCTCGTGGGCACTGATGTGTTTTAAAAGAGGGTGCTTCCTCTTGTCTCTGTTTACAGACTCTATTTGGTACAGTTTTAATGTTTTCTCTTCCCCTTTGTTTGGTGATATTATATTTTTATTCATAATTTGGTTAACCATGATACTTTTAAGTGATGTGATATTTATTTATTTGCTTAGTTAGTTGGTAAGGCAGTTTTCAGTATTGGAAATTGAATTCAGAGCCTTCACATCAAGATATATCCTCAACACTATTTATCTTTTTTTTTTTTTTTTTTGGTACTGGGGATCAAACTCACAATGTTGTGCTTGCCAGACAGGCGCTAATACTGATGAGCTAAACCCCCAGCCCCCTCTTTATCTTCTGAGATAGGGTCCTGCTATGTTACTAAATTGTCCGGGTTAGGGTTCAGCTTTCTATCTTCCAATCTCAGCTTCTCAGACTGCTGAGATTTATAGGTGTACCACACCTGACAAAATATAACACTTTATACACACACACAAACACGTATGTAAATAACATATGCACAAACACTTGCCTATACTGTATATATTTCCATGCATGGTGGTGTGTGGATCCTTTGGCTGGATGATCATTGGTCACGACGTTGAGGAATGTAATGTTGCTAGCTTTTCTAAAAAATTCAGTAACAATTTAAAATGTATTTTCTTCACAATTAAAAAAGGCATCCTTATTCTCCAGAACACCACTT